GATAACTATGGAGTTGTTTGAGTTGCTGAAACGTTTTATAAGAACTGCTCACATAAACTGATGTCTTACTAAAAGACGTGGTTTTCTCTTCTCCTTTTCTTTGTAGTCTTTAGAACAAGATTCTCAAGCTCAGAAGTCTATGGTTCGTCATCTTGAGAAACGGTGCCAGCAAATGGAACTGGAATCCCAGGAGAAGGTAACAACTAGGAATGTAATAATGTACCATGTACGACGTTCCTACCTTTCGGTAAATATAATATGGACAAAATGGCCGCCATCAGCCTTAACTACAGCCCCACAATGCACTGCAATGCCAGCTCACTCGGTTTTCTTCTCAGTTGGAATGGTTTATAATCTAATCTACAGCACTATATCTCTCGTTCCTTTAGAGGCAATTTGATCACGGCAATAATGCAATTTCGAACATTATATCCCGGAGAGCCTTTAATATCTTATTGATGGTTTTCACGGCGGCCATGTTGGAGGAACTTAACAAAAGAATTATCAATGAATTCTTTTGTTATTTAATTCTCTTGGGAATGGTTGATAACCATCAATTGCTGATGCTTCTGCTTGTGTTTCGAAGGTCCATCACGATCAGTTCCATACCACATTACTAAATGTTTGCTTTTTACTTCAGATTTCCCGGCTTCGTCTGAAATACGAAGAGAAGATGAAAGGACTAATGCCTGAATCGGTCCGAGAGGTAAATTCAGTAGCTATCGACACCTTAACAAAATATGAATCTCTGTGCTTCAGCTAGCTACTCATTTTCTGAATATCTGTTGATTCACTTGTCTGACTGCCATCGATCAAACTTACCTGTTAGGTCTTGATCGAAGGAACGTGTCTATTCACACAATAAGGAGTTTTAGATTGACTTTTTTTCTTCTCGCAAACGGCAAACGTGACCAYGTTTTCATCGTTTTCCTGTATTTACTTTACCTCTTGCAAACTTTCATATCACACACAAATATTCTTTTGTTTTTCTGCTGCATCGATTTTTTTGCGATTCCTTTTCACTTATTTAAAAGAATTTTTCACTGATCAACTGACGTTACACGTTTGCCGTGAACGTCAATCTAAAACTCTCTAATATAATAAGAGTGATTTAACGAGAACGAAAATAATGATGCGATATAAACCGATTGAATTGTTCCTGCCATCTAACATGGAGTTAATCACGTGATGTTGCAAAAACACTATCCTAGCCTCTTCCGCAGGCGCCTCTCTCTTTCTTTTTCTTTGCGCTCGGGATACCTGTGGCAAACCCTTTGCACCTTCAATCTGAGATCCCATGTGGGTTTTTTTGCTTACGTTGTTTTCTTTTCAGGAACTCGAAGATACAATCGAATCCCTTCGTCAACAAGTATCAGTGTTACAGTCACGTGCACAGGTACTCCAAGAGGAACTGGACACTAGAAACAARTTCTCAATGTCTTCATTCAATGTGTCTAGCTACAAAGACGAGYCCGACAGACAGGCTGTGTGACACCTAATAATTTATCTGCATCTTATAGAGCCTATACCATATATCCGTGAAAAACTTTGAAAGAAATTGCACAAATTAGTAAGTTCAGTAGACCTCGGTAGACCTACAAAACTTTGCGCTAATTTGTACAATTTCGTTAAGCTCCTTTTTCACTGATATAAGGTATGCACTCTTATGTAAATTGTAAAAAAAATAATAACTCTTTATAATCCATAATGGTTTGTACCTAGAGGTTAGTTTATGAAGGCACAAAAATAACATGTAAATAGTACAGCTCAATTTTGATTACACACGGAGATCTTGATCTTATCTAGCAATTTCTAGGACAGTTAAAAAAAACAAAAATGAATTATTCTATTCAATTAGCATTTTTTTACTTCTATTAAATTCACAATCCAAAACGAGTGATTCTATCATTGCTATTTTATGGGAAAGCGATGCATTCTGGTCTAGCTTGGGTGCAAATTTTTAGTCATTTTTTTATCTAGTGTTGTTTGCACCCAAACAAGACTAAAATGCTTTTTATTCATCAATATAGCTACGAACGGTATAGGACAAGCAACACATAATGAGTGCATAATCATTGATATTTGATTCTTATCTTATGTCAGGGATTCTAATATACTGKGTTTTATATTCGTATATTAAGATATTTCATATATAAATTATAGCTTCATATGTTTATATAAACTTGGTAAAATATTAAAGGTAGGTTTTAGTGTGTAACATTATGTCTTACGTGTTTCGTTAATGCTGTCTTTGGRGGTACTGCGTTTGGGCATTACATGTTGGTGAGAAATTTTAAGGAATGATCTGCTGCATCTTATTGGTTCAAAGAAAAAATTC